AGAGATTACGTTATCATGATATGAAACCAGCATAGCCTTTATTTCAGAGCCTGCTAAAAATACCAACCAACAAACAAATAAACAAAAAAAAGAAAGAAAGAAAGAAAAATCATAGATTAATTTCTTCTGAGCATAAATGCAAAAATCTTCAACAATATATTAGCAAGTCAAATCCAGCCATTAAAGGGATTTTATTCCAAATATGCCAGGGGAGGTTAACACTAAAGAATCAATCAGTGTTTTCAGAAAAAAAAAAAATATATTTTTTTTTCCGAATATTTTTTTCAGAATATATATATATTCTGAAAAAAAAATTTTGACAAAATTCAGTGCCAATTCATATTTTTAAGAAAGCAACAAGTTTGAACTCTGGATGGCAGGGTGTCCATGTAGGTTCATGCTTGTAATGGACCACCAAGGAGCAGGAAGTTGATAGCAGGCAAGTTTTTTATGAATGGGGACAAGAATTTACTGTCCCTTCAGTTTTTCTGTGAACCTAAGATTGCTCTTAATAATAAAGGCTATTAATTTTTGAAAAACTTAAATGGCAAAGGTGATTAAATTTTATGTCGTGTGCATCTTATCACAATTTTAAAAACCTAGCAAACCAAGAAGACAAAAGAATTTCCTTATTTTGATAAATTATCTAAAAAAAAAACTACAGCAAATATCAGACTTAAAGATATATTCTCCCTGAGATGAGGAATAGAGCAGATACTTGCTATTGCCATTCCTCTTTCTTTTTCTTTTCTTTTTGGTACTAAGAATTGAACCCAGGGCTTTACCACTAAGCCACTTCCCAGGCCTTTTTGTTCTTGATTTTGAGACAGGTCCTCACTGAGTTGCTGAGATTGGCCTCAAACTCAAGATCCTCCTGTCTCAGTCTCGGTGTGTTGCTGGGTTTACAGGTGTGCGCCACCTCTCCTGGCTATACATTGTATTCTTAAAATCTCACACAGTGAGTACTAAGTGCTTTTACCCCAAAAATGATAACTGTGAAGCAATATACATATTAATTAGCTAGTCTTAACCATCCCATAATGTATACAGCATATACTCTAAAACATCACTCTGTTCATGCCTCCCTGGGATTATAGGCATGTGCCACCACACCAGGCATCGGTCCTCTTTAATATTGCATTGAAGATCTTACCCTGTGGGGAAAATAAGAAAAAATAAACAAAATTAAAGGATAATAGAAATAAAGAAGAGTATCTCTGAATGGGGTAGTGCACACCTGTGATTCCAGCTACTCAGGAGGCTGAGGCAGGAGGGTTGCAAGTTCAAAGATAACCTAGGCAATTAGCAAGTCCTCTTTCAAAGTAAAAAGGGTGGTGGATGTAGCTCAGTGGTAGAGGGCCCCTGGGTCCAATCACCAGTACTAGAAAAAGATTTTTAAAAAGAAAGGAGAGAAGAGGAAAGGACAGGACAGGAGGGGAGAGAAGAGAGGAGTCGTTCTTCAAACGTGACATAATGGATACTTTGAAATTCCAAAAGAATCAGTAAACTAGGGCTGGGGATATAGCTCAGTTGGTCAGGTGCTTGCCTTGCATACACAAGGCCCTGGATTCAATCCCCAGCACCACACATACACACACACACACACACACACACAGAAAAAAAATCAATAAGCTAATATATTAATAAGTGAATTTTAGTAAAGTTGCTGGATACAAGGTCAATATGAAAATTAGTTTATTTCTATATGCCAGGAGTAAAGAGAAAGCAAAATATAGAATTGATGCCATAGACTATAGTCACAAAAATACTTAGGAATAAAATTAATAAAACATGCACAAGGATTGATACATTGCAAATGTTACTGATACTAAAGAAGGCCCAAAAATGAATGAAGAGATACAGCATGTTCATGGGTTAGAAGGCGTGTTATCATTTAAGTCTCAGTTACCCCTAAAATAATCCAGAGATGCAACTCAACCCCAAGCAACATCCCAGAAGCTCGATCTCATTCCCTTTTTCCTTTTTCCCTTCTTTCTTTTCTCGGACATTGAAAAGCTGATTATAAAATTCATTAGGAAACACAAAGAGCCAAAAATAACCAAAGTGATCTTGAACACGGAAAGCAAAACTAGGAGACACAGCAGGTATCAAGGCTGACTGCAAAGCCAGTTGGGGAGGGAGGGGTTAAGGAGGTAAATATTCTATGATTCCATTGAGATTAAGTACAAAAACAGAAAAAAATTAATCAAAGTTATAAGAAATAAGGATAATATTTTTCCTTAGAAGAAAGACAGTGGTGTCAAGGAATAATCACGGAGCTTTAAGGGTGCTTGTGACCGGGGTTTTGACTGCGTAGGTTGTTCTGTTAATGAAAATCCATTGAGCTATATATTTATGATATATCCATTTATTTCATCAGAATTTAATGAAAGTGCATAGCCGTTAAATCTAGCAATTCTCCATGTAGAAATTTAGTTTGTACTTAGATATGAGGTGTGGGGGGGAGATGTTTGCTGCAATTTATTTGTAATAAAACAAATTGAACAAAACCTCAAAGTGCATTGATTGAAAAACAGTCACATGCATTGTGTACTTTTGTAATGTGGAGTATATAGTGCATGCATTAAAAAACTGAGTCACATCAGCATCTAATGCCAGGAAAAAAGAGCCCTGATATTCTTTTACAAATTGCAAAATAGTATAAGAATATAGTCCCTTTCATTAAAAGAAAAAAATCCCTCCAAAAAATCTACATAAACCACACAAAGTATCTATAGCTAAAATTCTATGGAAATACAGATTTATACCTAGTTTGAAGGGATACCAGTTAAATGGGTACTTGACCATTACCAAGGTGATCATTGAAAGTTTGGAGTGATCGAGTAGAAAAACCACTGGCCTGGAAAACTAAAAATGAGCATTTATTTTCTTATCATTTTCTCTTAATGTTTGCCTCAATCAAATATATAAAGGGTGTCTTATTAATAAAATGGCACATTTCCTGAGATGCATACACAAAGAGAATTGTGTAATCATCTTATACTTCTTTGAAATAAGAGCCCTTCCTATAAATAAAAAAACCTAATCCCTATTGATGAGAAGGCAGAAAGTTGCTGATTCTGCAAGAGGGACTCTAAGTTCAGGCTTCCTGGCTCTGATTAGTTAAACGTCAGCAATTCACTCAACCTTTGTCTGGTAGATAAGGTAGGATCCTGTAGAGGAAATGGCAGCCCAGGAGCTGCCATGGGCTCTTGTATACAATGACCGGGCTGGGAAATGGTAATGATGTAAATAATAATTCTCATCATCATTGTCAAATCTAAAATACAGTGCTGTACTATGTGCTAGACACTTTTCTAAGCATTTTAAATATGCTAACTCTAATCCTTGCCACAACGCTATAAGGCCAGTATTATTAATATCACATAAATAAGCAGGCACAGAGAAGGTAAGCGGCTGCCAAGGTGCAACTTGTTTCCAAACACAGCCATCTGGGCACCAAAATCCATGGTGTTAACTACCAGTCCCTTGACTAGTATTAGTCAATGATATTTGAGGGTCCAGTATGGGGTGGGCACTTTGTAAGGCACTGGATGAGCTCAGTGGCCTGCTTTCTCCCACCCTCCAGTCTCTTCCCCACATAGGAGCCACAGAGGTCTTTGATTTAATTTTGTTTCTTTTGTGGCACGTGCTGGGCAAGTGCTCTACCACTGAGCTAGGCCTGCAGCCCCAGCGTGATCCCTGGGTTTTCTGTTTGTTTGTCATACAGGGGATGGATCCCAAGGGCACCTTACCACTGAGCTACCTCCCCAGCCCTTTTTTATTTTATTTTTAATTTTGAGACACGGTCTCACTAAGATGAGGAAGCAGATGAGGTTCACAGATGAAGGAGCAGATCACTCAGCACTGGGGTTAGGGGGACATTGGGGCAAGTTTCTCAGTCTCTGAGGCTGGCCTCAAACTTACAATCTTGCTGCCTCAGCCTCCCAATTTGCTGGGACGACACGGGTGTGCCACTGTGCCCAGCCCAGAGTGATCTTTTTAAAATCCTAAATCAGATCTTGTCACACTACTGCTTAAAATGACTTGGCTGGCTTCCCTGCACCTGACTGACGGAGACCTACGTGATCTGGTGCTTCCTCACTCGGTTTCCCACCCCACTGTCTTCCCTGCTGTGTCTGGAAAGCTTGAGCTTATCTCAAGAACGTCCCTTTTGCTTTGCCCACAATGGCTCTCTCCAGCTCCTCCTCACCAGGCTGCTGTCCATCCTGTGAGCCTCGGCTGAAACTCCACTTCCTTCTAGAGGCTCCTCTGTCCATTCTGTTTGAAGTGGAGGCTGCCCTGTAACTCCCTGTCTCCTCATCTAAATGCACTCATTTAGTGCATTTATTGAGCTCCTCTCCAGGTGTCACTCCCCTGTTGTCCACTAGTTTATTGTTTCTCCTCACTTGCCTCACGCAGCTCCAGAAGGGCAGGAGTCCTGTCTGCCTTACAAACACCACAGCTCCTACAGCACGCCTGGCCCATGGCAGGTGCCCACAGCACACATGTTGCCTGCAGGGCGAGTCCCAGCCTTGAAGACACTTCCAGTGTAGTGCAGCCCCCAAGGTCATGACCAACTTCCATCCACTGGCCTTGTTCTATGGGACTCCATGCTTTAAGTTCACAGATGAGGGAGCAGATCACTCAGCAATGGGGGTGGGGGGACTTTGGGGCAAGTTTCTCAGAAAAGGGGATTTTTTCTCAAAGAAAAAGTGGGAGCCTCCAGGGAGAAAAAGAAGAAAGGGCTATTCAGGAAAAGGAAACTGTGAAGAGCGCCAGGGTGTGAGGGGCATTCTGGGCAGTGGGAACCAAGTACAGGAGCAAAGGCTGTGTGTGAAGTTCATGCTCCCTGTGTTTTGTGTGCCTCGGTGATGGATGTTATTAACATCTAAGCCCCCCCGAGTTGGTGAAACAGAGTGCAGTTAAGAGCTATGACTAACCGATGTCAACCAAATGAAGCTCCTGCAGCTTGTTAAAGCAGGACTGTTTCCTTGCAGGTTCCCCGAGCTCCACTCTTCCGCCTCTCTTTGCACCCTTTTGCCATGTTAACGGCACCCAAAGCAGCAGAGTATGCCCGCAAACAGAGTAAGCCTGTTTATTTCCATCTGTTTCGAGAAATTTTAAATAAAATAGGATGTGGGCTCACAAACAAAGGTTAAAATTGACATGGTAACTCAGTTTCTAATTGAATTAAAAAGAACGGGGAACTTGAAGGACTTGATTCACACACACCCACACCCCCATCACCCAAATCACAAGGTCTTATCTGTCAGATTCTTTGGTGGTGGGAGCAGAGTGGTCCAGAAGGGGAAGATCTGAAACTGTGGGGGGCACATTTTTTTTTTAAGTTTTATATACAGATGCGGTTACTCTCTGTGCCTGCAGGTGTCAAGTTAAGAAGGGGAGCAATGAATAAAAATGCCACCAGTGGCTCTACAGAGGAAGCAAACGCCAGGAAGTGGAAGTCATCAAAGTGTTTTTCCGGCACATCACCAAAGAACACAGTAGGTTTAAAAACAATGAATTGGACCAAGCTGAGACCAAGTGTTTGGGGAGAACTCTGCTTATATTGTGATTAAATTTTGAGCCTTTGGAGTCAGATGTTCTGGATTTGAATCTAGAGCCTGCTGCTTAATAGCTGTTTGACTTCAGACAGGTACTTAACCTCTCTGTACACTAGCTTCTTCCTCTGCAAAATAGGAAGAATAATGGTACTTATCTCTTAAGGTTGTTGAGATGACTGAAGATTCTACATATTAAAAGATTAGAAGAGTGTTTGGCAGTTAACTCTAAATAAATATTAGCCATAATTATCTTTTCAGCATTTGAAAAATACTATTTGCACCAGACATAGTGGTGTACTCCTATAATCCCAGTAACTTGTGAGGGCTGAGGCAGGAGGATTGCAAATTCAAAGCCAGCTTCAGCAACTTAGCAAGACCCTGTCTCAAAACAAAAATTAAAAAAGGGCTGGAGATGTGACTCAGTGGTTGAGCACTCCTAGGTCCAATCCTAGTGCCAAAAGAAAAGAAAAATATTATTTGCAAGTTAATTGGCCATTATTCTTAAATCAAATAAGTATATGAAAGAGGTTTATTTTATTCCTTATGAGAATTTTATTTCTTCCTGCTTGGCATCTCCCCTGCTCTTGCCCTGTCCATCTAATTTCCTATTTTTATGTTGCAGAATCAGAATGGTCAGAAGTGTACAGGGCTGGAGGGAATGAAAAAAAGCAGTTCTTTTTCTTCCTGTTCTGAGTTCTCAATTATAATGTGCACAGTGAACACAAGTTCAAAAAGAAGTCAGAGAGATCAAGGTGGCCAACATAATAAAAGATAATAGGGGAGAGAATCCGAGAAGTGAGAAAGGCTGGGATATTTTAGGGTTCTAAGGTAGAAAAGAGAGAAGGAAATTTTGAAAATTGTACATTGAGATATGAATGGGTTTGTTTAAGAAGCATAAATTTAGGGCTGGGGTCATGACTCAGTGGTAGAGCACTTGCCTAGCATGTGTGAGGCACTGGGTTCAATCCTCAGCGCTGCATATAAAAAATAAAGGTCCATCAATAACAACAATAAAAAGGTTTAAGAAAAAAAAAGAAGCATACATTTAAACTTCAAATGCATTTTTATTTAGTTTGGTTGCTGAAATGAGAATTTCAAAAATATAATATGCACAGTGAACACAAGTTCAAAAAGTGAACTTGTTTAAAAAGAATTTTAAAATGTGACTCTCTTAATCAACTGAGCCACATGGGGCTCAGTATTTCTTTAGGTTCTGGAGGGAAACTATTGATTGATTAGAAATTTAACCTCATCATAGAAACTGCTTTAGGAACTGCCTGGAATCTTTAGCCACATTAGGGCTTTAATAAACATTATTCTAAAAATAGAATAATTGCTCTATGGAAAAATCAACACCATATTGAGTTTTGTTCTAAAGGTATTTGCTAGGATGAGATTTGAGAGTCTAGGTTTTCTAGAACATATCTTTGCTTCTGAAGAATTTTTTAAAGTCAAATGAGGTCATTTTCTTACATGATTTTGGAGACAGCAAGCTGAAGAAAGCAAAACAAGGCAAGAAACAAAAATAAAAACCAGAAATAGCACACACAAACACCCTGCACACATGTACAAAATCATAGACTGATAATCCAGACTAAGCTTATACTGTCAAGTATAACTAATTAAAACAAATAAAAAACTTTAAAAAAAAAACAGATCCCTGAAACAGGGATTCATATACTTGTTTGGATCATATATGGATCCTGTGTAATGAGAATGTAATTCTAAAGATTAATTCAGTGGTGTTTTGTTTGTTTTGGTACTGGAGATCAGACCAGCGGTGCTTAACCACTGAGCCACAACCCCAGCCCTTTAAGGTCTCACTAAGTTGCTGAGGCTGGCCTTGAACTTGTGATCCTTCACCTCATCCTCCCTAGTCCCTGGGATTACAGACATGCACCACCATGTCAGGCTCATTTTATTTTGAAAATATAGTTTCATTCCATACATTTTCTTCTACAACTGCCACCCTAGGACTTTTCAGAGAGGGACCTTGACTAGGTATAAGCAGGGTGCTTGGCATACGTGACAGAAAAGAACTTCAGAACATGCCAGTCAGAGACAAAAGATTTGTTTAGGAAAGGAGATATGCATTCAAGGGAGAATGTGGTTATCTAAAAAGAAAGACATCTTTTGGGGTGAAGTAAGAAATACACATTCAAGGGAGAATGTGAGCCATCTTCAGAGAGATGGTCATGAATGACACCAGATAGAGAGGGAACACTTCAGTTTAAATTCAAAGCAATAGATGCAAAATTAAAAATAATATACTCCAAGCACAATACATAACTGCTAAGAAACTAAAAATGATTTGCTGTGGGTAGGGTTTGTTAAAAGAAGTACAACTTTATTTATTTATTTATTTATTTATTTATACTTTGAAATAATTTCAAGCTTAGAGAAAAGTTGCAAGCATAACTCAGGGAACCCATACATACCTTTTACCCAGATTCATCAATTGTTAATACTTTATTTCATTTGCTTTGCCATTTTCTGTCTCTTACCTCTATGTGTATATAGTTACAAATGTATAATCTTTCCTTAGTCCTTAGAAGTTATACATAGCCTATCACTTTGTCCCAGAATATATCAGTTTGTATATCCTAAGACCAAAATCTATCTCTTACACATCCATGATCAATTTCAGAATATCTAACACTGATACTTTTAATCTATATAGCAATTTTGTTGACAGACCTAATAATCTTTTTTAAGCATGTTTTTCATTCTGCACAGGATCCAGTGTGAGATCGCATATTGTATTTTGAGAAATGTAACTAATTTCCAAATCTATGAGAACAGTTCCCTGGAAATTCTTTTATACCTACATGTAGCTACTACATCTTTGTCAGTAAATTGGTGTCTGATATTTGACCTGAACTTGCTATAGATTGGTGTTATTTGTGTGCATGTTCTATTGATGTCTTGATACCAAAATCATCCTTTTATTCTGCAGGTCACTTAGAAACTTGGACTTGGACCAAGGAACTTCATAATAGAGTCTCTGGGAGCAAACAAGAAACATCATCTTAAAATTGCATCTCTTGCTGGCACATTTTTCTTTACAGTTGGCTTTTGATTCAGACAGCGCTGAAAGTTATTATTGAGGTTGAGTTTCTTCTCTTAGAAGCATATTGCACAGCAACATTTTGGTAAAAGACAAAAATGTGTGTATCTTATGTTACTTCATTATGACTAAAAGACTTGGAGAATTCAGAGTACCTAATATTTCTATGTCAGGCTGGCTTTGTAGCACATTTTACAAATATGTAGTATTGAGTATTGCACAGTAGTACAGTAGGAGACAGTTTTCCAAAGTTTTAATGCAAAATAAAATTAATCTATCCTTGATTGACTTAGCTATGTCCTAAAATGAAAAATATTTAAAATTGCATCAATATAGTTTTTTGTTTGTCTGTTTGTTTTGGTATTGGGGATTGAACCCAGGAGCTCTTTATCTCTGAGCTGCATCTTCACCCCATTTTGATTTTTTTTTTTTTAATTTTGAGACAGGGTCTCACTAACACACTTAGGGGCTGGCTAAGTTGCTGAGGCTGGCCTCAAACTTACAATCCTCCTGCCTCAGCTTCCTGAGTCACTAGGATTACAGGCATGCGCCATTACATTCAGCTTCTCATCAATAGAGTTTTAAAAGAAAAATGGATGCAAGTTTTCTCTCAGTAGAATATAAGAACTACTAGGAAAAGAAAATGTTCTGTTCTTTCAGTACTTTTTCAAAATGCCGACTAGGCACATGGTTTAGCCTGTCAAGATTTGTAATGACATTTGGATCAAATGAATATCAGTACAGATCATACCTTTCTCAAGGTTTGGGTATGCCAACTTTCTGAAGAATAGTTTCCTTAGCATGTGCAAAAGCACCTGTGGGGTTTTTTGACTGAAAATGGTGATGTTTCCATGTGGGCTTGTGGCTGGGACGTCCAAACCAGCCTTTGCACACTGGATCTGATTGTAGTTGTTTTTGAGATTTACCAGGAGACTTGCAACATTAGGAGGGAGAAAGGAGTGGGAATTGGCAACCTGTGGTCACTGTAGACACTGTCAGGGGACTAGCCTAGGACTTTGTACAGATTTTTTTTTTTTTTATCTAGCTCTGCTAGTTATGAGAAAAGATCTTTTCTTTGTGGTTATTTCTGTCTCTCCTTTTGCCATCTGCATACTGGCTGTAAGTGTTGCCTGTGAGGGTTTTTGCAAATAGCATTGTGAATGTGCTGCTAGCCATAGTTAGATATCTTTCTGGAGTCCCTCCATTGGTCTGAAGCACAAAGGTGTTTGATTTCATCACACCACATACACAGGGGATGGGATGACAAAGGACCATCTGAGGTTTGGAGCATCCTCAATCCCTGCATATCTGAGGAGTGCTTCCAAACATGTCAATTGGCAGCAATGGAGAAAGCTCCTCAGGCAGTCACCTGGACTCAATGAAACAGTAACACAAGCAAATCAAAACGTGAATTTTAAAAACAAAAAGCAACCCTAGAAGAAGGGCCGTGGCAGAAGGGGAGTGAAAGCACATGTGGGGTTTTTTTGACTGAAAATGGTGATGTTTCCATGTGGGCTTATTGTCCTGCTCTTTGAGTGTCTCAGACTCTTGGGAGATAGCTTTATTTTTAGCTTGAGAAGTGTTTACTCTCATGACAAAACATATCTATTTCCAAAAGTGCTTTTCACCATTAACTCAAATTCATACATTTAAAAACTAATGTGACTATTTTTATCACATGAAATTGCAATATATGTTTATGATAGAAACTAAGGAAATAGAAAGCAGCAAAAGAAATAAAAACATAAAACTGAGACCTGTAATCTTTCCATTCATCGATAACCATGATTGACATTTTAGTATATACACAGTTCTAATCATTTTATCCTAAACATGCTAAAGTTTTTAAAAATCAAAACCATATTATGCTGATGAAGAAATGCAATTGTCTTTTGATTAAAGGATATTTTAAGATCTTTTGTTTCCCCTTTGCACTTCAAGTCCTTCTGGAGTTCATATGATTTCCGGTGAGCTCCCTCGGATGGAACCACCAACCTCCATCTCAGCAGCTTCTATAGGCGAACTGCAAAATGCTGGGCATGTAATGTATTTCTAGAGAGCTGCATAGGATGAGAAGTGCGCCCTTTGTCTCCAAGGTCATAATGGCTCTGCTGACTTTAATTCCTTTCACTGGAGCTACTGAGGACGACTCGAAAATGCCAGAGAGAATGAGAGCCCCCTGCCCCATGATCCCAAATGAAAAAAAGAGAGAACACAGAAATCCCCTTACGCTTTACCCCCACGTCGCTTTTGTGTTGTTCTTGCCAACACAGCAGCCATCCTGATATATATATATATACACACACACACACACATATATATATATATACACACACACACACACACACACACATATATATATCAGCTGCCACACTTGTCCCCATCACACTGGACGCTGATCATTCGCTCTCCACAACTATGGGGAAGGTGAGCCAATCCAAGTGTCATACATGTCTATCAAGTGTCTACTCTGTGGGGGATGTTCCTTCAGGCTGACCATGTGCTGTCACCTTGTTCCCACTGCAGATCATATTCTACGAGGACCAGGGCTTCCAGGGCCGCTGCTACGAGTGCAGCAGCGACTGCCCCAACCTGCAGACCTACTTCAGCCGCTGCAACTCCATCCGCGTGGACAGCGGCTGCTGGATGCTCTATGAGCAGCCCAACTACCAGGGCAACCAGTACTTATTGAGGCGGGGGGAATACCCCTCCTACCAGCAGTGGATGGGCTTCAATGACTCCATCCGCTCCTGCCGCGTGATTCCTTATGTGAGTCTTGCTTCCACCTGACTGATGTGAGAGGTCAGCTCCTGTCAAGTTGTTTGTTCCCAATAGTGTACTAGAGCTCACTGTAAAGACAGCAAGATCCCACCTTCAAATATTAATATATATATATATATATAAATTTATATCCCCCCCCCCCCAAAAAAAAAAATATATATATATATATATATCCTGTAATCTATATTTTTCTTCCTTAAGGACCTCAACATTACTTTGGAGAGTAAGAAATTATGACCTTTAAAAATAAAAATTGGCTGAATAGAGATATAGGATTCCCATCCATAAAAAGAAGGAAATTCTGTCATGTGTAAAGACGTGAATTAACCTAGAGGACCTTATGTTAAGTGAAATAAACCAGACACAGAAAAACAAATGCCTGTAATCTCACTCCGAAGTGAAATCTTAAAACGTTGATCTCATAGAAAGAAGAATGGTGGTACTAGAAGCTAGGGCAGTTGGTAAGGAGGGAAGGTTTGGGGACATGTTGTTTCAAGGATGTATAATCATAATAATCACAGGTAGGAAGAATAAGTCCAGAAATCTATTGTACACTTGATGATTACAGTTAATGACTATATATTGCATTCTTTTTTTTTTTTCTACTAGGGATTGAACCCAGGAGCACTTTACCACTGAACTACATCCACAGCCCTTCTAATTTTTTATTTTGAGGCAGGGTCTCCCTAAGTTGCTTAGGGAATCAAACTTGCAATCCTCCTGCCTCCGCCTCCCATGTTGCCGGGATTACAGGCATGCGCCATCATGCCCAACTATATATTGTCTTCTTAAGTGCTAAGACAGTGGATGTTAAGTGCTTTCACCACAAAAATGATAACCATGTGTCCATAGCCATATGTATTAGCTAGCTTTAACCACTCCACAATGTATACAGTATACGCTTAAAAGCATCACGTCGTGCATGATAAATATTACAAATTTACCTGTCAATTCAAAAATAAATAAACTTTAAAAATAAATTTAAAGTTGAAAGCATCTAGGCAATCTCTAATTTAAAAAAAAAAATCATCTTGCTCAGTCAAGAAAAAAGCCCACACAGGTAATTCTTTTTTAATGATAAAAAGTTAACCACCCATGCAAGAGCAATGTAGATAGAACATCTCTGATTGTACCACTGGTTCTCTTCACTACTCTCCATGACACACTGATCCAGAACCTAGAACACTGTGTTTCGTCACCTGTGGCTTTCAAGTGATCATCATCAAATAGTTTCTTAAAATGAAAGAGACAGATAATTGATTAGGATTTCATGGGTCTTGGTTCTCACCAAAGTGCTGCTTCATGTTTCTTAGTCACATGAAACATGTTTATACTTTGTGATGTCACCAAATCATGTGGCATGGCAAAGAGATTCAAGAATAGAAAGAGGCCCTGGGTTCAATTCCCAGTGCTGCCAATAAATAAACAAACTAACAAAAGAATAAATAAATAAATAAAATTTAAGCTAGAAAAATTTTCAGATGCACAAAGAGATAAAAATAAGCAGAAACCCAAATTGTACAAATCACTTGGCCAAATATCCTTTGAAGTGACCTGTGGACCAGAGTAAATAGGAATCACTGTATATCATGAGTGCAAAATGGAACCTTAAAACAAGCTGGATAGGACCCAGTTCTATGGGGCCGAAATGCAAATGGGAGTTAAAATTCTATCTGCAGACACATTGATCAGGGCTGTGGAGAGTGGCTACTTAGGAGAGTGGCTACTTACAAGGGAAAAACACTACTATTCCCTGTGTTTCAATGCTAGTTTTTGTTTTGTTTTGTTTTGTGGTGCTGGGGATTGAACCCAGGGGTTTAGTGCATGCAAGGCAAGCACTCTACCAACTGAGCTAAATCCTCAGCCCTCAACGCTAGTTTCTTCTGCAAGATCTCCAGTT